GTGTTCTCTAATGTGCTGGTAGAGAGCATTGTGCAGCTGGAGATGCAGGATCTTAGTAGAGAGAGGTGAAATGGAGGTCATGGCCATTTGCAGGGAAGTCAATGTTATATGTTTTATGAATTTTATATTCTGGGATGTAGCCAAATGCAATCTGTTGTAATTATAGCCTGCCTGCCTAAAATTCTCTTGTAGTTTAAATTGGATAGCAATAATCTTAATTTCCTGTCCTAAATGGTTGTACAGATTTGCTGTATTTCATCCCAGAGGGCTTTGCATTTCACTGGTGAGCAAAGCATAAATTGGTTGTAAATCACTTCAGATTAAAGGTGCTCTGTAAATGTATGTCTTCAGTTTTCTTGTTCAGTGCTAGCTCCAGGTCTGTGCCTAGCACTGTATAGACAAATCAGAAATGAAAGTTATGTTCCCAAAGAGCTGCAGTTGAAACAGATAACCCATAGATGCAGAGCAGAGATGTGACCAGATGCCATAATTGAGCAGTGAAAATTACTGCATGTCTTGTTAGTTTCACTTTAGTTCCACTTCTTGTAGTAACAGAATGCTTCTAGTTGGGCTTGTATGCTGAAAGAGGAGGATACATGACAAGAAAGGTGGAAGTGCAGGCAGAGGGAAAACAGATGGCACCCAAGCTTTAGTGGAACAGTGGGAGAAGGCAAAATGGAAGGAGAGAGAGCTCTGAGGAGCAAAGGGGCAGACTTGTGCATGCCTTGAAACAGGGCTTGTAATTTGTTGAGGAAAGGAGAGAAGCCTGGAGAGGGTCTTAAGAGAAGCAGGCATAGTTGGTGCAATTGGTCAAATGTGCCATAATGTTTTGGCTTGATTAAAAAGGAAGCACAATAAATGTTAGCAAAGTGTGGAAGGAGGAGACTGAGTAGCCAGGCAGAGAAAATACAGCTTGCAGTGTTTTGCAGCTGTAGCAAAGTTGGGAAGACAAAGTTGGACTGATTGGGAAGATTTAGCAGACTTTGATGGTAAGGCCTTATCAGGAGCTGTTTACATATTAGTGTAGTTGTCAGATCTGGTGAGTTTCCTTTGTTCAGCTAAATGCTTACAGAGACTGAAGACTTTTTTTTTTTTTTTTTTTTGCTGTGGGTATACTTAGTTCATTCATTTAGTCATCTCTCATTTTGATTACTGTAATGGCTTTTGGGTAGATGTTGTCCTTCTGCTCTTCACTTACAATCTATTGAAAAACCTGCCATGTACATAATGTCTTGTCATATTTTCTGTTCACTTAGTTTTCCTGCCAGATCTCCTTAAAACCTTCAAAGGAACTCTCTCAGGTTGAAAATAAAACCATACTATGGGCTCCTAGTTGAAAGAAGTGGTTGGTTGTGCTATCTTGTAGTTATTTAATGAAAAGTGTTTTAAAAGCCCATCACTAGTTTGGTGTGACAGGCACCTTGTAGTTTTGCAGGATGTACATGGCAGTGAATGATGATAGTAACTCAAAAGACTTCTGCTCCCATTGTGCAGGGTCCTGCTCTCAGCCAGCTGGTTGCCACAAGGAGAAGAAACTCAAGGTTTCCTTCTAGAAGAGACGGAGTGCTGCTTGCTTATACACTGCATCCTCTCCTACCTTGAAGAGAGGAAGAGGTCAAGTTGCTGCTAGTAGCAGAAACTTCCTTGATAGGAAGAAGAGAGTAACTTCCCTTCAGTTTATAGTGAGCGTGCAAAGCTGCTGTGGAAGAGAACAATAAAATCACAGCTTTGGTAGTGCTTGTGATCTTCAGAGCAGGTTGTTGCCTTCCCTTTTTCTGTGCTCTTATTTCTGAAAGATGTCAGGAGAGGGCTCAGAAGGTAAGGCAGGGAGGTAGGGTTGTCCTGTGTTGCTGGAAGGGGAGAGAAGCTGACTGAGGTTCAGAAGTGAATGGGATCTGGCAGTTGTGGACCATTGGTGGTGGGTTATCATGAGAATGAAGGAAGAAGATGATTTTCAGCTTATAAGGGAGAAGTGGATTGCATTAACAAGTGATTGGGATCACCTTGGAATCCAGCGATGGATTTCCTTCCATCTGTTTTGTTTGCATATGTGACTGTCCTTCACTTAAACAGCAGTTACTCATATCCTCAAGGATGGTAAGAAAAGAGAGTATCTCTTCCAATAGAAAGGATACAAGCTTACTTGATTATTTGCAGATGGAGTGTGATTGCAAATTATTGGAGATAATGAGAGTAAAAATTTACAGCTTAATACCAAAATTAAGAACATCAGTAAATAAAGTAAGTGAGAGAAAGATTCGGGGAGAATTATGAACCAGGAGCTTTAGAGCTCTTTCCAGTGGCTTAATGTGTGGCAATGGAAGAACTATGCTGGATGTGACTTGTATGAGCAGGGAGAATTTGCAGCTCCATGTGGATCACTGAAACAGGTAAAAGCTCCATGTCTCAGCAAATGCACCCTGAGGCTGTGGCTCTGCAACTTGCCAGGCTCCAGCAATCCTCACAACACTGGGCTTTTTGACCTCTTTCAAAAAAACATAATCACTTCTGAAAACAGTTGCAGAGCTTTGGGGAGAGTGATTCTGCAGTGACTGTGGAAATATAAACATGTTTCTATTGTCTAGTATTTGGTCTCAACAACAAAATAGCTTGTTAACTGTACAGTATGTTCCTGAGGCCTCATCTCTATATTGGAATGGTTATGTCTGTGAAATAATGTTGTAATTCTACTGTTTCTTGCTAGTAAGATGGCCAGGGACTATGTTTTGAGAGCTTTGAGATTTGAGAATATTTTTCAAACCACTTTAAACTGTGCCTGTCTGTGGAGGAGAGAAATGTGAGCTGAATTGATCCATACCACAGCATTTGTTCTGCTTGGTGTCCGTGTTCCATGTCTCAGGCTTCCTAGAGAGGGCAGCCTTTCTAGTAGGGCATGGGAAGCCTCAGCAATAATCCCAGCTGGAGTTTATCTTTTTTTGTCCCCGCTTTCTAGTCTCCCTGTTTAAGGGAAAAAGCAGTGACTGTCAGAGCAAAAGGAATGGGGTAATGTGCACTTAACTCAGTGGGAAGTGAATGACCCAAAACCAGTAACTTGAACTGGGCCATGTGTGTATTGTAGGGCTGCTGGGCTGGGTGAGGAGTGCTCCCTCCTTTCTGTTTCCTCATCTTCTCAGCTGCCCAGCAGCAGCTGGAGCCCAACAGGGAAAGGCTTTGGTCCTGTGGCCCCACAGACAGGGCTGCAGACCTCCTTTGTGGCCCTGTCATGGTTGGGTCCCTTTGGCCTGGTGGGGCAGGTGGACCGTGCAGGCCTGGGCGTCTGCTAAATTACTGTCTGATCTGCAGTTCTCCCTGCCTCTCCTCTGATCCTCCTTTTTTTGCTTGTTTTCTGTCTATCAGAAATCCTTATAAAATCCTTGGCTTCAGCACCACCCCAGCCTCATTTCAGCCAGGAAATTTAGCATGTGCTGTTGTCTGCCCATGGTGATGTTCACTTCCCCAGCATGAGAAGTCCCTAAAAGTTCATCTCAGTCCTTCAATGTACTTCAGGCCCACTGCCACATACAGTTTGCATTTTTGCAAATCTTGTTAGTTCTGGGATTTATCATAAAGGGAGTGAGTGGTGGTGTTTGTGTTTTGTTTTTTTTTTACCAAGAGGCAAAGCTATTTTTTTGGTTGCTTTCTCAAAGACCGTATTATTCTTGTTTGCAAAATTGACCCTGATGTTCCTAAACTCTCTTTCTAGAAGGTGTATATAGCTGGTTTGCTTTATTTCCTTGGAGATTTAGATAATATTATACTTCGTTTTAATTAATTAATAACGTAATGTTGTTTGTTTCTGTTTATTACTGTTTCTTGCACTGTAGGACATGCTGGCTTCTTTCTAACTTGCCAAAAAAAAAACCAAAACCGAAAGCTCAACCACTCCTGTTCTGCCATCTCCTTGAGCTACTCATTTATCAGCAGAAGCTTTAGAATAGCAAAATCAATCTGGGACAGTCTCCTAGGCAACAAGTGCTATTCACTCAGCTCACACCTTCCACCAAAATGAGTGTGAATTAGGGAGCTTTGCAGCATAACTGCTGGGCCAAAATCTTGTGCTTTCACTTGTCAATGGGTGAGGAAGTTCTAGAGATAGTTCTGTCTCCCATCTCACCTAGAAGGCTCCTGATCTCCAACTGCTTGGGGTTTATTCCTGGGAAACATTAACTTGATACTGACACTGATTTCAGTTTCAACTTAAGGCATCTTGGGTTTTCCTCCAGCACAGATGCAGGACCAGAGAGGTATGTAAGGACAAGGTGGAAAGTCAGTGCCATGAAATGCAGTCTGTAATGGCTTCTCTGTGGAAAGAGTTGTAAAGGATCTCCTCAAGGCTACCCCTGTGTTGAACATGGTGTGTTCCCTTGTGGATCTGGCAGTGTACTACACCTGTACAGTCTGTGATGAAGAAGTACTGTTTCAACCTATAAACTATGGAGAATTGAGCAACCAAGCATGCAGACCTACTGGTGTAACTATCCATACATTCATAGCAGGTGCAACGAACTCTTCTTAGGGCAGACATTTTCTCCTTGCCCTGCTAAAGTCACCTTTGTATTATCTGGATGACACCTGTGCTAACTTATTGTCACCTGACTCCATTCTTGGACAGGCACAGGGAAAACAAACATGCTTATGAGCTGACATAAACTAGACTTATACTTGCATCATCCAAAGACTGAAAAAGCAGCAGAGCAAGCAGCCTCAGTTTGTCCTGGCCTCATGTGTGCACTGAACAGAAACACAGCCAAAAAAGCCTTGCAGTACAGAGGCCATGGGCCACTGACCAGGTCATCTGCTTTCTTCTCTGAGAAGGGGGAGGAAGAAGCACTTATGTGCTACTTCCCTGTTCTCTCCTAATAATTAACAAGCTATTTTTATCCTTTGCTTGATTTTACTGTAAAGTGCATTAATCACTGGCTTCTGCTGCCTGCAGTAACAAACAGCAGTATCATCAGCAGGGCGTTACTAACATGAGCATCTTTTCTTTCTCTTTACAGGTAACCGTGCTGGTCCTTTTTGCCCTTGCATTCTTAACCTGTGTTGTATTTCTGGTAGTCTACAAGGTTTACAAGTATGATCATACCTGTCCAGAAGGATTTGTTTTCAAGGTAAATTGCATACACATCCTAGAAAAATAGGACTGTATGTAATATCCTCTGTGCTGTTTTCTGTGTAACCTCAATTAAGTCATTCAGTATTGCATAGAAATTTGTGTTTGTTTCCACAGAGTAGTGTGCTTCCTGCTGTGTTTCTTCCTGCCTGATTCATTATTGAGGTGGTACTATTGCACAGTCTTCATGATGTTTTAATTTTACTAGTGCTTTGAGCATTGAAAATACAGCAAAGTCCCAGCACCAGTGTCCTTCAAACCTTCTTCATCTGCAGTTGTCTGGACAAAGCCCTCATTTATTGGGTCATGTGGTATAATGTTGCGTGTTTCTCCAAATTCATGTGTCTCAGGAAAGAAGAGGGTGATAAAACCTGCAGAAAAAAAAATACTGGAATATGTGTCAAAGAAAAAGCAGAGTGATGTCCTCATTAAAAGCTGCAGAATTGGCTTAGGGTTATTTTTGTAGAAAGAACTTGTTCTAGAACAGCGACCTGCAAGCCCCACTGCCACAGGCCAAAAGTGATGCTGAAAAAGGGAAGGCACATTTTTGGAAAAAACACTGATGCCAACCAAAAGGGAGGCTGGGACTCACTGCATTCTTGTGAGATGGTAGTGCTGGCTCCTCAGCTATGACCTGGGCTGAAAGACAGAAAGGTAACATTGATTTCTGAGTTGTAAATTTAGCAGAGTAATTAGGTAAGAAAAGTAGCAGTGATGGCATTCTTCCCTCTGTTTTTTCAGAGAATACTTAGTCATGTAATGAATCAAATGGGTACCTAGTATGATCTTCAAAAGGATTTATGAAGGGCTGGCTGCCTCAGCACTCCTTGATGCTCCTGTTCAGGACTTCTGATTCTGTCACTTAAGGCACATAAATATCTTAACAAGAATCTAGTCCAAAGCTGCCCTCAGCGATGCTCTGCTGGATTGACTTAGCTCCGAGCATTCAGTTTTATGCTTGCTGCTTTCCCTGGGTTCAGGGGCAAAATTTACTGTGGCTAGAACATTTGGCTGTAACTCAGGAGATCCAGCCTTTGCTTCTGCTCTTGGTTTTTTGTCTTGTGACAAGTGTTGAATCCCTGCTGTGCTCATGTCTCATGGGACAATAGCCTGTTTTTCCCCCTAAGCTTTCTCTTGGCTTTGAGGAATTTGGAATACAGACTGAATGTTCCTGCTG